CTCCAGGCCTGCTGCACAGCTGTCGAGCTCACATGTCCCTTTATCTTTGTCCTGGGGATCCCAGTCATCTCTCCTGCATGGGATTTCCTACTTCCTGGACCCTCTCTTATGGTTTATACTCTCATGTACGTAGAGCTCCTCTTCCTGTACCTTCTCAAGAAAAGATGCATAGAATGGAAAACTATGATCTTACATGTTTGACAATATTCTTATTCTATCCTTGTATTTGACTAACAATTTTACTGGATATAGAATTTTAATTTGGAAAATATTTTCTCTCAGAATTTCAAAGGCATTGCTTTCTTGTCTTTAGGGTCAAATATTGCTTCAAGTGGTCTGCTAACCATTATGGTTACTGATCCTTTGCATGTGACCTACATTTTTCTCTCTGGAAGCTTTTAGATTCTTCTATGTGTCCAATGATCTAGAATTTCATGGTAATGTGCTTTAATGGGAATCTTTTTCTTTTTTTTTTAACTAATGAGACAGACACTCAGTGGCTTTGGCAATGTATGTGCTAAGTTCTGAAAAATACTGTATTATTCTTGAGTAATCTCCCTCCTAGTTTCTTTGTACTCTCTTTCTAGAACTCCCATTATCCAGATGTTGGATCTCTTTGATCTTCTAATTTTTTATCTTTTGTCTCCTTATTTCTGTGTTTAATTTTTTTGTTTGCTTTCTGGGGAAAATGTTGCTTAACTTCCAAATGTTACATTTATCTATTATCAATCTTTCTAATATCCAAGAGGTTTTAATTCTCCTTTTTTAAGAAGTTTTAATGTTTCCTTCTCTGGGCATCCTGTTCTTATTTCATGTTGATATTATTTCATCTCTTTTGATCCTGGCATTGCTTATTGCCTCTGAGTTTTGTTATATTGCTTTTTTTCTATTTAATTTTGGTTTCTCTGTTTGTTAGTGGTTTTCCTCAAATATCTGCTTGTCCTGGGCTGTTCATTTATATTTATGAGGGAGAATGAAAAAGCTGACAGAAGGGATGCCTGGTCGGCTCAGTCATTAAGCATCTGCCTTCGGCTCAGGTCATGATCCCAGGGTCCTGGGATCAAGCCCCGCATCGGGCTCCTTGCTTAGCGGGAAGCCTGCTTCTCCCTCTCCCACTCCCCCTGCTTGTGTTCCCTCTCTCGCTGTCTCTCTCTCTGTCAAATAAATAAATAAAATCTTAAAAAAAAAAAAAAAAAGCTGACAGGAGGCTCTGTGAGCACTGACGGGTGCTCCCATGTCAAGATCAAGGTATCCCTGTATAGTGATGGGACAGGAACTTGGCTATTTTAGCTGTCAGTACCTGCAGTCGTTTCTCTTGGATGATTGATTTCCTCAGAGAGGAATCTAACAAACTGCTGTGAGCAGATGAGAGTGGGAGTGTGGGAGGGGAGTATACACCCCTGGTTGCAGTATTCTCAGAGCATGTGGAGGAGAGACCTGGGGGTCACCATTCAGAATGGAGACTCACTCAGTTTCCGTTCTCAGTTGCTGTCTCTGGTGTTTCCAATCTGGAGTCCCTCCCAAGAGTAGACCTGTCAGGCTATTGCCTGGCTGGAGAGAATTTAAGGCTCTGTTTCTTATACCAACTGTCAACCATTCCATTAAAGGAAGTATCTGGAACCTTTCCAAGGTGCTGTAAATTACCTTGCTCATCCAGATTCACTCCAGTAGGCATTTGGATTTCTCCTCTCTTCTTAGACAGCCATCTGCTTTTCTGGTCCAAAATCTGGTGGCCATCCCTTTCCTGCTATCTTTGTCTCTCTTGATCCTCTTATTGTTATATTTTTTATCTTTTAAAAAAAAAATCCTCAGGGGCGCCTGGGTGGCTCAGTCGTTAAGCGTCTGCCTTCGGCTCAGGTCATGATCCCAGGGTCCTGGGATCGAGCCCCGCATTGGGCTCCCCACTCCACGGGAAGCCTGCTTCTCCCTCTCCCACTCCCCCTGCTTGTGTTCCCTCTCTCACTATGTCTCTCACTGTCGGATAAATAAAATCTTTAAAAAAAAAAAAAATCCTTCAACTGTACGTTTATTGGGAATTGGGAGGCAAATATATGTTCAACCTGCCATGTTTAAATGAAAAAAAAAAACAAAACCCTATTTAGGACTCTCATAAAGCTTCTGTGTCCTTGTACTTCTGAAAATCTGTATCTTGCCTTCACACTTTATTAGTAGTTTGGCTGACAGAGAATGCTAATTTCAAAATTATTTTCCCCTTAGTGCTTGGAGGCTTTATTCCATTAGACCTCAAGCATCCAAGGATACTGATGAGAACACTGTGGTCTTCCCATGAAAATTCTTGTTCCTTTGTAGATAATCTGGGTTTTCTTTCTCTTTCTTCTTTATCCTCAATTTTAAATTTCACAAATTTGTCTCTAGTGGTAGGATGTTTAAAATCCATCTTGTTTGCTGTTCAGTGGGACCTCTCCACCCCAGGAAGAACGGCTCTCACCTCTGATTCCACCTTCTTTTCTACATGTTTTAAAGGGTACACTCTTTCTGTTTTGGTTTAGCCATCAGGAGAAGCCAGTTTTCTTGCAGTCTTCAAAAAAATTCTTCAAAGTTTCTGATTTTGGAGTGATTCCTACCACCACCTCCGCCCTCCTCATCTATGTTATGGACCTCTCTGCTGTGAATCCTGTAATCTCAATTGGATTTGGGGAAGGAGAGAGAGTAAATGTGTATCCATTTGTCACTAGTCTAGACGGTTCACCTCTCTTTCAATATGCTCAGCACCTGATTGCTTATACCTCAGAATGTCCAGGTCTTTATTTTCTAAGTCAACTTGAGTTATTTACATGAATATTCATTAGAAGGTTCTTAGAGAATATAACCAGTTTTATTTTGCATCATTTTTGCGCATAACCAGAAAAGATGGCTAAATTATTGCTGTTGATATTTATGTTTAATTATAGCATTCTCAAAAACATCCCAAGAAAGAGCCTAAAAAGAGAATAGTGTGATTGTAATTTACCTTGACCCTTTTTCTTTTCTTTTTTTTTCCATCTCTTTATCATTCTCCCCTTCTGAGTGATCATCATCCCTAATTCCTTTCTTCATCTTTCCTGGGTGTGTGTGTGTGTATACACACATACATAAACATATACACACACACACACATATGTAATTTTTTGGTATATTTATTTTTGTTCAAATTACCACATAACACTTTTGAAAAATCAACCTATTAAGTAATTCTAGGGTACGCATATCACTGTAGAGTGCCTGTGGCAGGGAACCCAGCCCTTTGGTACTCAATGAGAAAGAATACTGAAAAGGTCTTAAATACTTTGATCTTTAACCTTGAAAATAAAACTTTTGGTTCTTCCTTAATCTCTTGGACTACAATTTTCAGTTCTGAACTGTTTCCTTGGACTCTGCTAGAATTAATAACAAGCTTTTCAAAAACACTAATAGTTAAGTCTTCTAGCCTATAAAGTTGTTCTCAAGAATAGAAATAACAAAAATATACTTCACTGTGAAAGTAATAAATGGCCAGCACTAAAAACTAAATACATAAGGTGAAAAATGATTTTATACAACTCAAATACGTTAAATGATATAACACACCCTGGAACCATAAATACAGCATAGCTTTATGGCTGATAGTCTCCATATGTATGCCTATCAATTCTGAGGGGTTTTTTAAATTTTGTTTTTGGTGAAATTTTGTTCATTCTCTGACCAGTCCAGAAAATGTGGGTATTTTCAAGTCAAACAAGTAAAGACCTCTTAAAAATGTGAACAGAGAGTTTATTAACTGGTATAAAAATTTTAATTAAGTAACATTAAAATTACCCAGGTATATCTTCAAAAATCTTGCTTTACAAAGGTTAGAAATGGTCTTCAAATGTTAATACTGAACTTACAGTTTAAGGTCCTAACCTTGATGAGACTCAAATTTTTTATTATTAATCCCTGAAGAATTTACCATAAAAACAACTCTGACAGTTAAATGAATATATAGTCAGAAATACTGCTACCCTCAGCATTAAATATTAGGGACTTTTCCAGCCCTATTAAGCTTGATATTGTCATTCTGGTCATTACATGTAAGTACCAAGAAATATGTATTTTAGTAAATCATTTGTTAGTGAATAATATTTTATATAAATGAAACTGCAGGAGTTTAAATTTTAAGATGCAGTTCTCCAGAGAAATATCCTAAATTTAAAATTTGTTTCAGAATTGAAAAGGACTTAGCTTTCCCAGCTATCTTTGGCATAGGCAGGCTTTTCATCGAAGCTGAGTCCTGGATGAGAAACAGAGTGGGCTCTGTGGCTGACCTGCAGAATAACCCATCCTTAAGCCACTTTGTCTCTGGCTCACTGGTTTTCCGATCATAAAATAGAAGACGAATACTTCTCTGTGTGAGTGTGTGTGGTCATCGCATTTGTGATAAAATCCACGTCTTCCATAATTTATAACTGCCTTCCACCCCAAACAGGAGAAAATGTATGCTGTAGGAAAAAAGTAGTAAGTTTATTTCAATTAAACTTGAAGTTAGTTTAAACTTAAATCTGAAAGATTATTTTAGTCAGCTTCAAGTTTTAAGCCTTGGAAATAATCTTAGGTGCTAATGATGGTAAAATTTTCATAATTAAAGCATTGTTTCATTCATCGGTGCCAAAATTCTCTTCATGAAAATTATAGCATTTAAGGAACTTCTACTGACCTAGAATGAACATTTGATTGTCAATTAACCAAAGAAAATGTCTTCTTCAAAAAAGTGTTTTCAACATAGCTGTTTGGCTTTTCATTACCAAACCCTTACTAAATCTTAACTTGTCCTGTGAAAATCATTTGTGACTATTTTCTTAAAATTATTATTTCACAATTTATGGAGTAATATGTGGGAATCTGTACATGTGAGAGTGTACATATATCTGTATACGTTTTTTCAAGCGAGAAGTTTTTAAGAGATTACAGAACAGAAAGAAGGAATGCAAGATTCAAAGCATGGATGCCCTTAAATGACAACTACTCACCAATAAATGGACCATACTGTAGTAATTTTAGTGCAAACAGACATGCATTCTATGTTGTGTGGGCGACCTTTGAATGAGAGGACTCTGTAGAAGGCCAAGGACACAAAACCACGGGAACCTTTAGGGTAGGTCCTCAATGTAGTAAACATAAAAACAAAGGTACTGGGCATCTTGAGAACGGGCCCGTGCATTTTCTTTCTCTACTTCGGAGTGTGGCGATAAGATGTGTTTTAGGGACTTTGGCCAGATGGTTTTTGAAGGTTTATGAAGCACTGAACATGACTTGGTTAGGTTTAGCATGTTGACGAACACATTGTGAAATATTTACATCACAATCTATATAAAAATAAAACTGTGAACAGCTGGACAAGAACACTGATCTACTCGCCGAACTTTTTTCCACGTTCCTTGACATCGAGGATTGCCAATTGCTTGCCAATGGAGAGTTTGATTTCTGAAACGATATTTTGAAAATGTTAGTTACGCTGAAAGCAAACCAAAAAGAATTCTAATTTACAGGATCATAAATTGAGGTGTTTTGTTGTTGATCAAAGAATGATCATACCTGGAGTTTTAAAGTGCATTAAAAATTGAAATTAAAAAAAAATCACAAACTGAGTTTCCCTTCTTAGGGGTTCCATCAAAACAAGTTACAAATTAATCTCTATTTGAGGATACCCACTTGTTGAGAGACCAGTTTGAGGTTACTGTATTCATTTCTCCCACTTGATGTGACTATACCAAGTGTTACATAAAGGAAAATGGCCCCCTGTTTCATGTATATTTAAATTAGAGGGGTCTGCCCAAATGAGCTCTTGTAATCCTCAACTCTTTGATTCCATAATGAAAAAATGGGAGAAGCAGGAAGAGCAAAGCCAGATTGTTGAAATTATTATTTTTAAAGTCATTGGAATCTCAGCCAGGGTTTAAGGTACTTTCTGAGTACAAATTCAATTACAAATTCATTTAAAGACAAAATATGGATGAGATATTCAGAAAAATATTAAGTCTAAAGATTTGGTTTCTATTTGATATGAATGTCTTACCTACTTTACTGTCCATGTGGTATACTCCTTACAAAGGCTATCAGGCACAAGTGACTAGTAAACATAAATTCAAGTTATTAAATATTAAAATATACTATGGGAATAATGACTAGCTGGGAAGGTCCTTCTTTTACTTTCTAATCTGTATTTTTATCAGTTCCACCTGACATACTTAAAACCATAATCCACGTGTGACTTAAATTGGTCTTTGTCCAATAGCTGACCAGCATGAAGTCTACTCTTCTCTTAGGAAGAGTGTTATTATCAGCTTTAACTGATAAATGAGTACAGGATTGGGATAGATTTTTCAGAGTCAATTCTTCTGGACAATCTATAGATTCCTGTAGGTTTCTGATCCTGCAAAGCTGAGCCTACCACCCTCTCAGTCATGGTTTTAGGACTACTCCCATTGGGCAGTGGTTCTGAAACATTGCTGTGGGGCTGAATCATCTGGGCAGGGGTCAGCAAACCCCAACCCACGGGCCAAATCCAGCCCACCCTTTGTTTTTGTGTGGTCTGTGAGTTAAGAATAGTTTTTTGTTTTTAAAGAAAATCAAAAGAAGAATATGTCATGACACATGAAAATTACATGAAATTTGAATCTTAGTGTCCATAGATACAGTATTTTTAGAACAAAGCCAAGCTCACCTGTTCATGTAGAGTCTGGGGCTGCTTTCATGCTGTGATGGCAGAGTTGAGCAGTGAGACCAGATAGCCCACAAAGCTGAAATTATCTACTACCTGCCAACTCCTAACCTAAAAGATGGTTAAAAATCCACCCCCAGGGACACCTGGGTGGCTCAGTTGGTTAAGCGTCTGCCTTCAGCTCTGGTCATGATCCCAGGGTCCTGGGATCGAGCTCTTCTTGGGGCTCCTTGCTCAGTGGGGAGCCTGCCTCTCCCTCTCCTCCCCGTCCGTGCTCTCTCTCTATCTCTGTCTCTCTCCCTCAAATAAATAAAATCTTAAAAAAAAAAAATCCACCCCCAAAGATTCTGATTCAGTTCATCTCAAGTGGGGCTCAGGAATCTGTATATTTTATTTTTTTTAAAGCTTTTTTATTTATGAGAGAGAGAGAAAGAGCATGACCGGGGGCGGGGGAGGAGCAGAGGGAGAGGGAGAAGCAGGCTCCCCACTGAGCAGGGAGCCCGACGTGGGGCTCGATCCCAGGACCCTGAGATCATGACCTCAGCTGAAGGCAGTCGCTTAACCAAGTGAGCCACCCAGGTGCCCCAGGAATCTGAATTTTTTTAATCACCATCCCAAGAGGTTCTGATTCAAGTGGTTTTCAAAACACTGCTTTGGAGTAATGAGGTTTTCAATGGTCATTTGGGAGCATGATATGAACCCCAATATCCAAATTTACCCACTCATCTCTGCTATAGAGCCTCTGAGTCCCATAGTGTAAACTGGGCCCTGGATTCAGGAATTGCTAGACAGAGGGTTCTCCTTACTTGGTGTTTTGGCTCCCAAATCATGCCCTGATACGCTACATAGTCTGCTGTTCAGGACACAGGACAGATCTCTCCAAATGAAAAATAAGAGAAGTCCTTCAACCAGTGTTCCTCCCTTACCCATCTGAGTCCAGGCCATCTCCAGAACAGCGAAGGCTCACAGAATTCATAGCTGGGGGTTGACAATCGACGCATACTGTGTACCCCTCTCGGAGATACTGCATCCATCGAGTCAGGGGGTGGTTTTCCATAGCGCAGTGATGAGTCAATGACTCTGTCTTGAACTCCATACAGTATCTAGAGCAGAAAACAGGACACTTGCACCTGCTATAATGAGAGACAGCCTAACGCTGTAAAAAGTCTTAGGAAGCCTGCAACCCCCAAGGACATTTGACGGACTGGAGAAGGTGGTGTGGTGCATCTTCACAGGCTATGCACCGGTCACAGAATGCCTTGTAAAGTTTCTCATTTGCCGAACTATGATGATGGACGATGCCCGACTGGCAACTACAGTGAAGCTTGTGGCTCTTTTCCAATCCCAGGTAACTACCTGGTCAACATGAGTTTGCAGAAATTTGGATATCCTGTTTCCTATCTAATCTAAACACCACATTGTGTATAAAAAGCACATTTCAGTAAGAAAATAACCCTTAATAACTTTGCTGATAAAGAATAAGAGAAATTGAATAAGAACTTGCTTGAGTCTTAAGTCTGAGAACGTGTGAGCCCCTGGAGGGCTGGTCCTCAGTGCCCTGCCCGACACCCATGACTTTCTGCCCCACAGACATTACCAGGGACCTTCCATATGCTCCCCACCCAGCTTACCTGCGTGATCTGGGCTAATGATGAGTTTGGACTTGAATCCAAGCATCAAAGTTATATTGGGCATCATAGATAAAAGGAAATGGGAAGCTGGAGACGTTTTTCTGTGACAGAGGCTAGTGTCACCTTACACTGAACTGTGGAAATCTCTAGCACTATAGTGACTAGAGCACTCTAGCATCCAGGCATGGGTGAACACTTTAGAGTCTTGTACTAAAAAGCAACATAATTTTACAATTCTTCAGGGAAGCAAAAGATAGTAAAACTCCTGCATGTTGTGTTTTTGGTTCTAATTAAGCTCCAATGGGCTAGTTTCTTATCCATAGAATTATGAGCTGTCCTAGGTTAGATGGAAAGTGATTGGAGGGTCTGCTTCTGTGAGCTTTAACAGGGGTAGACCATTTATTAGGTACCATTAGGTACTGAGGCAGGAAATTCTATGGCGAAGCTTCAAGCAACTTTGGTCAGACAGCTTAACCCAGACATCTCTTCATTATTTTCTCATTAAATTCTCCTTACAACGCCATGTGGTAGGCATTCATATTCTCATTTTTCAAGAAGAAAACCTGAGATGGGACAACATATCCAGGGTCTTACGGCTAGTGCATGGCCATGGGCAGGGGGTTCTGAACATGCAGCAGACTGGGGTCCCTCTGCTGACAGCTGAACAGCAGACTTCAGGTAAGCATGGAGGTCCCTCCCAGGCTGTGCCTTCTGTCCTGACAGAAATCCTCAGAGCTGACGTGTGGGCCACTTTCAAATTAACCAAACACAGGTGGTGCTAGAGTCCATGTTCTCCTAACGACTCTAAGAGGAACATCCTGAGTACGATTGATAAAGTGATACCATCATTTTATATAGCGTGTTTCTTGTTGATGAGACCTCAGAGACAAATCCTTGCGGCCTCACAAAAACAGAGAAGAGACAAGTAGGTCCCAGCTTTGTGGTAAAGAGTCATGTTTTACCCAAAGTCAACAAACAAGTAACAGAAGAACCCCCATCACACTAAGACAAGCTTTGCGGGCTGACTTGGCCATACACCTGGAAAAGCATAAGCTGAAAAACCCAAACCAAACCATACAAAACAAAAACACTAAATTACCCGGCGTCCTCTGTGACTGTAGACCACTGTGCAGAGGCGGCTTGTCTTGTTCTCTCCTTGTTGAATGCAGAGGTAGTTATAAAGGCAGGGACTAGGAAAGAGAGAAGGGCGTTGGACACATGCAGCCTGAAGTACTCGGAACGACCTTTCCCAAACTTGATGTCAATCCTGTCTCAAGCCCCCCATCCCTAAGTGCAAAGGGCCGGAGCACACCACCAGGAGTGGGACGGGGCCAAGTTACCGTGTCCCCAGAACCCAGTTCGAAGAAGATTTGTGTGCACGCCGATGGGCAGGGAGAACTGCAGGCCTCTGGCAGGCAGGCTTGTCCTTGGTAATAAGTTGACACTGGGTGAAAGGGGAGGAAGGGGGGCCAGAAATAAAAACGAAGAGGAAGTAGTGAAAGATGCAGGTAAGCGAGGGGGAAGAGGAGGGAATGGAGAAAGAGAGAGAAGATTTTTATTTTTATTTATTTATTTTTAAAGATTTTATTTATTTATTTGACAGAGAGACACAGGGAGAGAAGGAACACAAGCAGGGGGAGTGGCAGAGGGAGAAGCAGCCTTCCCGCCGAGCAGGGAGCCCGATGCGGGGCTCGACCCCAGGACCCTGGGATCATGACCCGAGCCGAAGGCAGACGCTTAAGGACTGAGCCACCCAGGCACTCTGGGAGAGAAGGTTTTTAAAGATGAAAGGAAGAGAAATAGAAGAGAAAAGGGAAAGACAGGAAGAATAAAGTAGAAGAATAGGAGGGAGAAAGGACAGAGGAAGAAGACAAAAAAGAGAGAAAAGGGGATGTAAGGAGAAAAAAAAGACCACCAGAGAGAGAGAGAGGAAATGTGAAAAGGAGAAAACAGATGTACCAAGGGAAGAGGTGTGAGCGCCCCCCCCCAAGGTCCTCGCGACCCCAGCCTGGAAGCTTCCCCGCCTGCCTTGTGGCCTCAGGGTGACTGCCTGGTGCTGGCCAGCACAGCATCCCCATGCCAACCCTCAGCCTGGTGGAGGGGGGTGCGGTGTGGGGAAGGAAAGTCAGGTTGGTCCTCCCCTCCCTGTCCCCAGCCCCAACCCAACTCTGACGCTCTGGCCCGGAGAGAAGAAAGGGAGCCAGGAATCCTCCAACCTCTGCTCTCTTCTTTCACTGATTTTGCTTGTGTGCCTCCTTCCCGTTGGCCGCTAAGTGTGGGGAAGCGTCTGATGCTAGGTACGTAAGGCACCTGCAGATAAACTCCCGATGCCGCTCTGCGGTCAACTCAAGGAAGGCAGGGTTTTGCCCTGGTCATCACTGTGGCCCTCACACACTGACACACTCAGTAAGTACGTAGGCAACGAATGGCGGCTCAATGAGTGAGTGAATGAAGTCACGGAATTGCCACCAAGCCTCCGGGTCCTACCTCCCTCTGGTCTTCTGTTCCTACACTGAGCCCTGTGGCTGAGACGACTCAACAATCCTTCCTACCTTTCGTTTCAGAAACTGGACCGTCCCAGGAAGGGTAGAGACCAGCTGATGTTGGCTCGTGCGCTGCCAGAGTCATCATCAATGTGAGCAAAATGGCAAGAGGGCTGCAAAACAGATGCGTCAAGCCTACGTGTTCATTTGACGTGGCCCCTTACTGGCTCCTTTCGGCCACAAGATGGCAGCCCGAATTCTTTTTTTAGATTTTCTCAGGGAGGCCTTTTGCTATGACTAGGGAATGTAAGACCAGAGTGGCCAAACACCAGGTAGTCACCTGCTCCTGAGAGTTGCAGGTATCCTTCTTGTCCTACGGAGTTTGGTGCTTAATCTCTTTGGCGTGAAAATTCACATCTAGCACAAGCCCTGAGAGTCCCAGCTGTGAGACTCTTCCTTGCTGCGCTAACAAGTTTAATTGTTTTCCAGAGAACATGCCACTCCTTCTAAATGTGACCATAGCTTTGGGACTTTCCCAAACCCGTGGACAGAATCAGAAAGAACAAGGGAGCGCATGTATGTTAGGAACTTACTGTTTCTCTTAGACCTAATTCTCCGGAACACAAACATCGAAAGGATTTTCGCTTTCCCACGTATTGTTTCCATTTCTGTTCTTCTGACGCATTTAAGAGTTTATTCAGCAAGTGAAGAATACAATTGCAGCTCAGTCCACGTGGCATTGGACCAGTCAAACTATGAAATTTTCAGGATGTGTTTCTTTAGCTCAAAACATGTATTTGATCTCCTTATTTGTACCGCATATATTATTACAGAAGTTCAAAGGCAACGCACTTAATATATAGCTTGAGGCAGGGAGGGGAAATGAGGTTAGGAGGTAAAGGGCAAGTATATGATTATAATATCTGATATAAAATCCTTAGAAAAAGTTCTATAATAATAATAGTAATGAAAGTTAACAATGATACACTTCTAAGTTTCCGGGCATAATGCTGAGCTCCTTTCATGTGTGAATGCATTTAATTCTTACAACCACCCTCTGGGATAGTTCCTATTATTTCCCCATTCCACAGATGAGGAAATTGTGGCACAGAGAGGTTAAGGAACATGGTCAAGGCTCCCGTCTAAACACGGCAGTGTCAGGCAGTATCTCTAAAATCATGCTCCTCCCTGCCTAGAGACTCTTGCAATGTGGATCACAATGTTTCATTGTTTTATGCATATTTCCTATGAATTGCTTAAATTCTGTTTTATTTTCCCTTTCTGTCCCTAATGGGTCCTTAATATGAAGTAACTTTAAAGGAGGAAAGGGAACATTGTGAGCCCTCTACCTGGAGTCCCTTCAGGCCCCCCTGGGAGGGGGGAGGGCTGGGATGGGGCCTGGGGCCCCTGGGGTGGGGGGTGGCCTCGCCGTGGGCCCAGATTAATGCCCGCTGGGACAGCACATTGTATGTTTCCAGCCTGCTTCTTTACAAGTACCTTCTCATCCCCTGTGACTGGTCCCCACATAAGCTTTGTGAAGAGGTGCCCTGATGTGTTCTCAGAAAACTGAGGCTCAAGGACGTTAAAGGAAGGGAAAATTCACAGTAAATGATGAAGCAAGGACCCCAGCACAGACGATTGCTTCTGGTTTTTCGATCTCCTGTCCATGTTCAGTGCCAAGCCTCTGCAGTACATAAGACCTATCCTAAAAGCCAGCCAGTAACCCTGGGCCTTGTGTCTTCTGTGTCCTGCCCCCTCAAGCCCTAGCTTGGCTCAGTGGCACATTCTACTGAGAGGGGGCACTTCCTCCTTGAACCAGAAACCTCCAGAAACCAGACCAGCAGCCACATTGCCTGGGGGTCTCTGAGCCAGTGTGACTTTTTAATATCTCCCCCCAGTTTAATTTCCATTACTTAAGAGTGGTAATTTAGAAATTATTTTTGCCTTCAGTCCCACTGCTGCTTATGTGTGGAAGAACAGAGCCGGGTGCCGGGGGACAAAGCCTCTCAATAAAAGCCAGGTCCCCCTTCTTCCCCCTTCCTGGCAACAATATCCAAATGTAGTAGATTCTTTGTTAAGAGGCCATTTGCCAACTTTTCTGGCATCCTATCAGCCTACCATTGTTCGGTTTTACAACAACTCCACTTCTGAAAGCATGGCACCACGCATACTTTGAACATGAAAATAAATTGAATTTGCTTAGGGAATTTCATAAAGCCCTCTGACACAATGGGGTGTCACCAAGGCAGGCTTAGAACCACTGGTCTGTAGATATAGTGTAAAAGGGAACAGAATGAAAATATGACAAATAACAGCGGCCCAGAAGCATACAGCTTATGATACACATCGATCTCCTTTTAGGAGGAGTCAGGATGTACAACTAATACAATAATAGGGCTTTTTGGATTTGTTTTTATGATAAAGGTAGAGTCAAGATCTGCATTAAAGGAAATGGAAAAAATTCAATAGCTACTTGATCATTAACAAGAGAGCTTCGGTGATCCTGTTTCATTCACGGGTCTCACAGAGCCTTTCTAGTTCTATACTTAGTTACCAGAACCTGCAATTGCAATTTTAGCTCTAATGATAAAAGGAGCAGCAACGCAATATCAAGAGGGAAAACCCCACAGGATTTAGAGCCCTGAGATCCAGGGTTAGATTCTGAAAGTCCTTCACAAATGCTGTGACCTCCCTGAGCTCCAATGTCCTCTTGGTCTCAAGGATAATGAGGCTGTCCCCTTTTCAAGGTCAGCAGCATACTGGCCCCGCCAAGATTTCCACACCCTAATCCCCAGGACCTGTGAATATGTTATGTTATGTTATGTTATAAGGAAGAATTAAAGTTGCAGATGGAATGAAGGTTGCTACTCAGTTGGCCTTAAAATGGGGAGATGATCCCGGCTTTTCTTGGTGGGCTGAGTGTAATCACAAGGGTCCTTCAAAGAGGAAGAGGAGGGGCGCCTGGGTGGCTCAGTGGGTTAAGTGTCTGCCTTCCGCTCAGGTCAAGATCCCAGGGTCCTGGGATCGAGCCCTGCATCGGGCTCCCTGCTTGGTGAGGAGCCTGCTTCTCCCTCTCCCTCTGCCTGCCGCTCCCCCTGCTTGTGCTCTCTCTCTCTCTGGCAAATAAATAAATAAAATCTTAAAAAAAAAAAAAAAAGAGGAAGAAGAAGGTGTTACTACAGAAGAAAGCACAGAGATGCAATGTACCTGGCTGTGAAGAAGGAGGCAGGGCCGTGAGGAGAGAAATGGTGACCATCTCTGGATGATGGAAGAGGCAAGGAAACGGATTCTCCCCCAGAGCCTCCCTAAAAGCAATGCAGGCCCTGCCAACGCCTTGCTTTTAGCCCAGGGCGACCTGGGTTCCACTTCTCTCCCAGGGAACCCTAAGATAATACATTTGAGTTGTTTTAAGCCACAGCGTTTGGGGTAATTTGTGACAGTGGCCGTAGGAAGTGAGTACACTCTCCTACAGGATCGCTATGAGCACTGAATCAATAATGTCGATAAAAGCTCTCCGCCCTGCAGCTGTGAGGGACTGCTCTGCCATGCACCCAGGCCTCCTGCCCTGCCAAGAGCAAGTCTAGTGGGGCGGGGAGGCGGGCACAGGTGGCCGCACAGCCAGACTCCTTCTCCGCGCCTCCACACCTATCTGCCCATCCTTCTATCACGGCGCTCGCTCAGCACCCCGAGCTGGCGTTGGCTGATAGGTTTGGTATTCGAGCCTGCATCTCCAGAACCCAGCATCGTGCTGGCTGTAGTAGATGCTCAGTGAACCTCGAATGAATGACACACGTAAATGAATGTGTGGGAACTGCGGTGACACAGGGCTCAGGGCAATCCACCAAATTGCATTTTCACGTCACTGCTCTTGTTTCCCTTCTGCTGTCCATCATTTTCCCAGGTGTATTCCACAGAACACTAGTGATTCGGTGAGATCCCCTGGGGAAAGGGGCCATTTAATCCAATAAGGTGGGAAAGCATCGCATATCCTATCTCCCTCCTGTAGAATGAAAATGCTTATTAGCGTAAGAAAGCCTCTGAGAAGCTCCTCCTTAGAGAAAATGGTCTGATTTACCCCATGTTTTCCTGACTAAACCCCTGTTTTGCATTTGGGGGCCCCTGCCCTCAGGAAAGTGGCACGTAAGGGATCCAGCTATGAGTCAGGGGCTGAGGGAAGAGGTGTGCACCCACACTCGGGCTAGAGCAGCGGTTCTGGAACGTCGGTAAGCAGCGGAGTCCCCTGGACGCCTGGTTACAAGCACAGTGCTAAGCCCAGCTCCAGCGACCCTCATCTCATGGGTCTGGGTGAGGCTGGAGGAACTTGCCTTTTTAACAATTTCCCAGCTGAGGCAGACGCTGCTGGCTTTAGGAGCCACCAGACTGGAATATTCGAGGGGTCCTGTCTTCCCTGACCAGCTTGTGATAGCAGTCATCATTTCCACGGAATTACCATAGGAACGTGCATCTCAGGAACGCAAGTCAGGGCTGCAAATGCCAGGAGAGATTTCTCCTCTCTTCCCAAACTGGGTTTTACCTCACCTTATTAGGAAAGGCGGCCACTGAGCACAGATCTGTCCTGTTGGTGTTATTTCCAAGTCACGAACACCTTGTGGGGAGTCACCTATGAAGACTGCTGCTTTATAAAGTCTTCTTACTGGAGCTTGGTGGGAAGGGTGGGTGAGAGGGTTAACTCGGGAACACGAGAACATGTAGAGGAGGACAGGCCCGGGGGACTTTGCCCAGAGGACAGAGGAGAGGACATGTCCAGGCAGGGACGAGAACCCCGGGGGGCAGGGTGTGGGCCCAGTGCTCCCTGGTGCCCTTGGCCCATGTTCCATAGCGTCCTCTTCATTGACCTTCCTGTCCCTTTTCCCGTGACCTGCATTATGCTGTTATAAAGAGATACGGGGCTGCAAAGGGGTTCTGTGTCAGCCTGGTCTAGCCCTAAAGAGTCAAATATACTTAAGAACTCCTTTCTAGCAGGCAGACCCAGTAAATGTGAGCAAAGCAGCTGCTTCCTAATAGATCAGCTATAGGTTTTAAGAGTCATCCAAAAAATCAATAACGTCCTACAACGACATCCTCCCCGAGCCTTTTCTGTCGTGCTCTGCAGAGTACATGAGCTGACTGTGGTTTTGTTCCACGACTGTTTCTGGGAGCACTAAATTATTTCCCTGGGCGCTTCATCTGACCGCTGTGTCCACGAGACACCTCCCCCCCTGGCCCTTCCGTTAGCCACTCCCCTACCAGAGGCATCGTTTCAAATCACAGATCTGACCACATCAGAAAATGCTACAGTAGCTCTCCAGGGCTCCTAAGATAAAGACCAAAATCCCAAACGCAGAGCTCAGGGCGGACGCTTCCCCTCTCAATGCCAGCCCCACTCTCTGTGTTCCCCAGACTCCGGCCTTCCTTCAGCCTCGCAAATGGGCCTTTGCTTCCCAGGGGTTAGAGAGATGAGCCAAAGATGGTCTCTAGGTTGTTTACTTCTGCACAGCAGGCTGACAACTGTTAGCCCCAAAGTCTACTGGCAGCAAACTCAAATTTTTACGCATCCAAATTGTTTTCCTTTTTAAAGATTCATTTATTTATTTTGAGAGAGAGTGCTTGAGCAAGCATGGGGGGGGGGCAGAGGGAGAAAGAGTCCTAAGCAGACTCCCCAGTGAGCACAGAGCCCCATGCGGGCGAGGCTTGATCCCATGACTCTGAGATCATGACCTGAGTGGAAACCAAGAGTCGGCCCCTCCACCAACTGAGCCACCCAGGCGCCCCCCCAAATTGTTTTAAAAATTGCCAAACAAGCAGATTTTTAGCCATTTAGGCCATGCCTGCTTTACATACCCTGTGAAACTAGACCTGGCATCTGCTGGCCATCGATGAGCTAAAAAAGCCTTGGAGTTGTAAGACCCCAAGCTGCTACCACCCTTGCCCTTCGAAACTCTCTGACCCAGAGACACCCGACCATGCTGCTTAGTTGCCATCCCCTAGACACTGAGCCCCTGGCAGATTTCTCTCCTCCCCCTCTGGATGGTGGTCCCCACACCATAGCCTCTGGGCTTCCGCTTCTCTTGCAACTCGGTCCAAGCACCACCCAAAAGAGCTTATTGTGGATTACCGCCTCCTGTGGTCGGGTTTTTCCCACATCAGCCCTCAAATCCCTCTAACCCCTATACCTGACTACCTGGTTCACCATGCCAGTCTCTGCCTGGGAAGTTCTACATTTCTCCGCCTTACCTCCCCCTCCTTAGGGAAGTCCCTTCCCTTCTCCACTCCTATGGCTCCCCTCCTCCCCCAAGACCTGGGGAAATCAGCTTATTACCCACACTCATAGCTCCAAACAACTCACTTGTTCAGGACCAGTTGCACCAAACTGCAGCTGTAATTTTCTGGGACTGATTTCCTAAGATCATGATTATCACCCCCCACCCCCCACCAGACTGCGATCTGCATGACAGCAGGCTCACGTCAGCTTATGTCACCAATGGAACCCTGGCACCCAGCCCAGTGCCTGGCAACCAGTAGACTCTCAATAAATATTTGTGCATAGAGTGAAAAAAAAAAAGGAGCAAAATGGCTTGATGAGTGTCGTGTTGGTATAAACATTTCCAAGTTCCTATGAAAAACACATGACCTCTGTTATCCTGAGAAGTCAGTGTTGCGCTCTATCAGATTCAATCGAGGTCAACACGTTGGTGTTGGTCTTTTGGCTTATTTCTTTGTGAGTTTTGTACAACTCCCGACTCATTCATCGGCGGAATTCTGGCCCCTCCATTGGCCACTCCACAACCAGAATGATCTTTTCAAATCACAAATCTGATCACACCAGACCCAGTGCAGTCAGCTGGAGAGGAGGAGCATGTGTTTTATGAGAATAATTTATCACTGCTTAGGAATTAATAATTTTTCTATTACCTTCACACGTGTGTGATGAGCCAACCTGACTACCCAGGAATTAAAGGTGCAAGATGAATACTTACCTGGTGGACACTTACAATCCGGTGTGAAATACTGTCATCCTACCTAAAATCCTTTGTCACCAGCTTGAGTTTGCCAAGCATCACAACGCACGTGTCCTTTCCACAGAGGGCACGCACAGAAGTGGGGGGCCACCCCGGGGTCAAGAACACACCGACCACGGAGGGGGTGGAGTAGGGAGGCCCTGATGCAGCTGACACTCACTTCTTTATCAGGCATGTCCTGCACTTCCTGTCTGGGTGGCCTGGCCCATCCCACTACCCCGCTACGCACGGAACTCCCCCACCCCACCCCCCAACCCCCCCTCAGCACATGGCCTTTTAGGGGAGGACGAGATGGAAAGTCAACACAGACAACAAAGGCGGCCACCGTGAAACCCCCGGTACCGAAGGAGTGCCCGCAGTGCTGGCCCTGGGGCGTCGAGTAGTCCAGGCAGCCGGCTCTCTCTTCCAGGGGCGGGCAGGGCGCGCCGCCGTTCCGGGGCTCCTGCTGCACCGAGCGCCTCCGCACGCGGGCCGCGGGCTGGCACTGGTCGACGCAGCCGCTCCAGGGGCTCCACTCCCCCACGATGCACGGGCGAGCTGAAAAACAGCACGGCGGGGATGGGACGCTCAGCTGGGTAAGCCCAGCCGCCGGCCAGGCTGTGCCGCCAACACCAACAGTCGAGGTTAGCCCTCGCAGACCGCGCTTTGACTGCGTCCTGCATGGAGGCGGGGGGGGGGGGGGGGGGGGGGGGGGGGGGACGGGACACGGTCTCAGCAGGGCTCAGTGGACAGGGATGGTTAGCTGGTACCCCGCACCTCTTCGGGGCAGACGGGCAGCTCTTCTGGGGTCATGAGGGTGGGTCTGAGCCAGGGAAGCCCCCGAGTTAAGAGAGTGACGCCTTCGGGTACTTCCTCATACTCCGTGGGCTTAGATAAGATCTTTGCTCTTAGAGTTCCTTGATTTTAACTTTATCCTCCCCTTCCCAGAACATTTTTATTCTAACAGCAATACGTATTCATTGTAGAAAGCATAGAGGGAAGAAACGTAAAAGAAAATGCCCAAGTCACTTCTAATCCCCAAGTGTGTCTCTCCATCAGTCATGGGTTAGGGCCACCCCAAAGGACCTCTAGACTTGGGACTTCTCTTAGGCGCTCTATTCTCATCCTCCATGGCTCTTAAACCCCTACACAGGAGAGCTGGGGTTTGCCGAAGAGCAACGAGAGCCTACAGAGGTAAAGACTGGGCTTTCATGGTCAGGCGTGAAGGGGCAGGTCAGGAGCAAGAATTTGGCTATCGTGACAATTCTCTGGCCATGACTGGAAAATCTATGTGGTTGCATACTTAACTTTCCTGTTGAAAGTCCTAACGAATCTTTTAAAAGGGCTATTCTGAGTTTCAGTGGAATTACTTCAGGACTTGAGATTGTTTATAAGAAAAAGAATAAGAAAACAAAAGATGTACCTCCGAACTAGAGGCCCAAATTCTTTCTTTCCCACAAAATGTGACCCACTTTCCCTACCATCCTCATACTTTCAAGCTTACAGAGTCTTCACCAAGAAAGCACTCTAACTTCTCTGAAATCTTGACTTGGACTGCTGACAACTTGTACTTGAAAACTCATTTGACCTCTCAGCACACTCTCTTTAGGGCTCATGGATTTTGGAAGACCGGTCCTTTGGCAGCACGCAGCTCACCCTGACACGAAAAGGGTCCCATACAACTGTCCCATAAACATCTGTCAGTAATTCAAAAACTTCAGACTGTTTTAAAACATGCTTTTATTAATCATCTAAAAACTCACAGGTATCCCACATCAGGTAGGTAAGGAAGCAAGTGTGAGGCACGTGAGACTTGTCGCGCATACCTGCCGTGCACACATCTTTTAGAAAATCAGTAACAGGCCACTTTCTGCTCTTGTCATTTCTTGTGGATCTTCCCCTTTTATTTTCATGATCCCATGATTTCAACTGGGCCCTAGAGCCACACTGAAAGAGACTGCCTGCTGGGCTAGGAGCTGAATGAGAAACACTCCTTCTGTTCTTAAGTCTTCCAACAACTCTCTCTGTCACCCAAATCTCTTCATCCCTGAGCCTCTTTAGTCTTGCCCTGATGGGTTGGCCTTGAACGACGCTTAATATTACACTTTAAAAAAACAAAACGCGACACTTATTTCAAAGATTAACATTGGACATCACTATAGAATACAACTTTGCCGTGGCATTAACTCAGAATTTAGTAATATGGCCTCGGTTTGAAGACACTCTATCCATATGGTAAAAGATGATACTGGGACAGTTTTCTGAAAGGAACTAGTTTCTCGGTATTTCTTCAACATTTGTGTGTCATGTGCAATGTTTATTTATTTTATTTGGTTTGCCCCACAATTAACATCCCAAATCACAGAATCACTGAATCAGTTGTTCCTATTGGTTAACATTTGACCTGGGAAAATGCTATGCCTCATATTTCCAATCCATGACTTTAACAGCTTCATAAAGAAAACCAGAAAGTTCTGGGTCCTGAGCATCATCTTGATGGCTTCATTATAAAACAAAATGAAAAAAAGTTCATACAGAATTATACAAGTATAAAGGGGTTCCAAAAAATATTTTCAGTTGGAAGGCGAATCTGAGGTATTTATTCCTATGTTGCACAAAAGATTATATTCATGATTAACTTGTGAACTGCTGATTGTTTGGAGTGCAATTCATCATAGATCATAAGAGATCTTTGGTCACAGAGGCTAGGGGAAGTACGGGAACTTCTGACAGATTTATCATCTCAAATCATATATTACAGCTGCATGACACACATTTCCTTTGAATTATTCCATCAGTATTCACATCTATAGCCAGCATGTTAAAATATTCTTTCTTAAAATCTGACTTTCTCAATCTTCACATTTCCCTAGTTATTACTGGAGACCAGTAGACCTAGTGAGCAACGTGATCATCCCTGACTCCAAGCTCCTCCCAGCTTCCCGAAGTCCTAATGGTTAGGACTTAATGACATCATCCCATCCCTTTTAGAAGAAAAAGAAGCTTAGGCGTAAGGGATGCCAGAATGCTCGGCAAGCTGTTTTCTTTTTCCTTTGTTTAAACTCAATATGATTTAATATTCAGGTGGAGTTTCCCAGAAGCAGACTCATAAAGACGTGGATTTCAATGCAAGAAATTTATTTGGGAGGTGGTCCCAAGAAGTGCAATAAGAGCAGAGACAGAGAAGTAGGCACAGAAGAGAACAGAGACATAGATCCCTAAGTTCCTGCTTCAGGCCCAGTGGGCAAGCCTGGCTCTCAGCTCACTAGGAAACGAGATAATGGATAGATCCAGAGTACAAAGAATTATCAAGTCCTTTCTGGAGTTCTGGCTAGTCCCCCTTCCTCAAGAGCTTTCTGGTTATCAAATGTCCCTACCACAACCACGAGAATGGCCAACAAAAGAGAAATACGTTATATATTTCAGTGGGGAATCTGCCCAAAGCAAGAGTAGAGCACCTTTTCACATGTCCTCACAGGGAGAGCCAGTCATATCCAAGTACAAGTACCTTAAAAGATTTTCCACTAAGCTTTAAAATAGTAATAATAATAATAATAATTAAAACTCAGTGCATTGTTACTGAATTTGGAAAAAAATCAAACTCTTTGCTGCAGCCGACAAGGTGCTGGGTGAGCCAGCTTGTGTCCCTCCCCTCCCACCTGGAGGTGCCCCCCCCGCCGCCGCCGCTCCAAGCTCCAACCAGTCTGGCCTCCTTACAGCAACTCTGTCACACTCTGGAACCTTGGCCATGTGTCCCTCTGATGGGAATGTACTTCCCACATGGGGCATGGCTGGGGTTGGCTCATCCTTTAAGTCCCAGATGAATTATTCAGGGAGTCCTTCTCTGGCCAGATTATCTAAGGAGTCTCCCAGTGCCACCTCCAGCCTCCCACCTGCCACACCTGAAAATTACCTCCTCGCAGAGCTCAGTGTTCCTTGCTTTCTAATATCTCCCTAATTCATAATTACATAGTTTACATATTTATTTACTTTTTTATTGTCGTTGAGTTTTTCATTTCGTGCCTGGTGCTTGGCACATGGTAGGTGCTCAATAAATATTTGTTGAATGAATGAACGAATGAATGAATGAATGAAATGGCATTGGACAAATTCCTCCTCCTTCCTAAACAAACTTTCTACATTGAAACAGATTCTGGTTTGCTCATATCATTAGTTAGAAGCCAAAGCACTGACTAAGACTCCAGAGTGGGAAAGGAAAGCCGGCTGAAGGACAGGAGCAAAATAAATCAGAAGCTCCCAGAGCCAAAAATATGGGAATTCTTAACAAGGTAAGAGCTGTCTGGGCTCTCCCGGCAATGGTGGCCCCAAAAGGTGTCCCTGGAAGGAGTGTGGCTTTCTGTGCCTTCAGGTCATGTAGATCCCAGCTTCTCCTGGCAGCCACAAATCCTTCAAATGCTTTTAAATCCATTTATAGCTCCTGCCAGTACCACATCTTGAAAATAACAAGCTTCATTTTATTATCAGTGGCATGGAGCGGTATTTCCTCTTATTTGATCCAAATTCCCCTCACTCAAGAATTTCAGAGTATGGTGAAAAAAAAAACCCATCTATGTTTATCTTATCCATGCAGCTCAGGGACTTCATGTCTCAGGAGGTGCCCTTTCCTCTCTAGCAGGAATCTTTCAGGTTGATGACTCTAGCTGTGGGACCCATCTTTCTAGAGCCACCCCCCCCCGAATTACCAGTGGGCCCTCTCCAGGTCCATTGACAGCCTCTGTGAGCAGGGGCAACCAGAACTAGACACACTATCCTCAGTCTTAGGTGCCAAAAGGTAACTAAAAAACCCATCTTCTACTCTTTTTCTTGATGATCACACACACACACACACACACACACACATACAGCAACAAACTGAGCTGACAGCCGATCCTGCCTTTCCTACATAGAGTTTGGGCTCTTTCGTCTTAATATAAAACCTTGCCCTCAGCTTCATGCAGTGTCTCCTTGGCTGATCACGGATCTGGCCCTGCCTGCTTGGCTCTTTGCCGCCTAAAAGTTTAAGGCCACCCACGAGCAAGTGCTTTCTCCCTCACGTTGTTAAGTTCAAATAGTCCTAAGTCATTGCTACGAAAATATTCTTCTTGCACTTTACCCACACCAGTAGCATTTACGAATAGCTTTTGTTTCTTGACATTCTGTGGAAGAAAAATAAAGCAGCCCCCCATCATGGTAACACGATCTTAAATGTCATAGGCCTTCTTCTCTTTCCTCATGTATCCCCTTTTCTGAGAAATCTTGTCAAATCTTCTCTGAAGGTCAAATGAGACTACAATGCCCAAGTGCTTATTTACCGCCCCCTCCGAAAGCTCCAATAAAATGATCAAGTATGTTCTTCCTCTTGCAAAAACCATGTTATCTGGCCCCCAGTGGGTTTTTGTTTTCTTTTGAGATATTAACTGGACAAGTTCATGAAATCCTAGAGGGACAATAAAAAGGACTCACTCCCTCATTAGAAAAAAAAACAGAACTTTATATACCATGTAAGCCCAGAGAAAAAGGGCATACAAATCATAAAGATAATTATGCTTTTACTCGGTAGTCAGTGTCCAGGTGAGTTGTGTTCTTCTTTTGTGCATTTCTGTATTTCCCAAGTTTTCTGCAACAAACATATTTTGTAGACAAGGAAGGAAAGAGTTGTATTTAAAAGGACAAGTGGCCCCAGCCCAGCTGGTGGCGCCCTCTGCAGCCATAGATAACATCCCCTCGGTGGAATGACCCCTCGGGCTGTTGAGACAAACATAATTCAGCGACACCACCATGGCTGTCAGGGGAGTGTAAAGAGGGGCAGGACACACTTCTTTGCCCTTGAGGAGTCAGTCAAAGGAGAGAGAAGGCTCACTCACTCTACCAGTATTTATCTGGGGCTTGACCTGCCACGTACACAGCTTCTCATAAAGCCTCAGTCCTTGGAGGGTCAAAACATAATGTTTAAACATAAGGGCTCCGGACTTAAGAGTTCCTGGGTTCAAATCTCACTCCATCACTTGTTAGCCATATGACTTGGGATGAGTCTCCCAACCTCCCAGCGCTCTGATGACCACGGCGGTGTGTTGGGAGACTTAAGTAGGACTAGAACTGTGAGGTGCCTGGCACGGAGGAAGTGTGGCAGAAGGGTTAACAACTTTACCCTCCTCCACTGAATGCCCAGGGCTGCGGCCCAAGCCTGCAAAGTCAAGTCATGTTGAATGCTGGCGCCAGGCCCTGCTCATTTTTCCTACAGAGACAAAGGCAGGGGAAGCCACATGCTGTCTCTCAGGCCGCTATGGTTCCTAGTAAAGCCTCAACTTTTCTAAATCACCGTAGATGGTGACATCCTTCCTTTGCATGAGTTTTGGAGCCCGTATTTTCCAGTACATTTGCCCTTTCTCCTTCCAGGTATGTGGTCAGCGGATTTGGGCCAGTTAGGTTTCTAGATTCCCCGGGAAATCTACAAGAAAAGACTGGCTCACACAGGCTACTCAGTGTTTGCCGTGTTCCCCTTGGCTTCATTATTACTCTTTCCTGAATTTGCTCATCAAAAAGTCCAGTGCAGCCCTACTGTTTCTGTGATCTTAGAATGAAGACTCCAGGAACCCAGGTGATGAGCTAGAGACCGGGGCATCGTGAGCCTGATAAGGAAGCCTTCTAAGAAATTCTTCCAGGGCAGGTAACTTGGATCTGTCTCCTCCTTTACGTCTCCCCTGGTCACGCACAGCCAATGGAGAATTTTCTATTCCTTTTTTTTTTTTTTTTGGTGGGGGGAGGGGTATAGAGATATATAATTGGTGTTGAAACCAATACCAACATCATAATGAGATTTTTCTGAGATCATTTGTTTCAGAACAGATATTTTTGGCAGTTCAGTAATTCCACAGATCCAATAACTTATTTTTATTTTGACTAAGTAAAAATAAAAAGTCCTATTTAGAAAAAGAAATTCCAGTATTTCATCTCTTAACTACACCAAAAAAAAAAAAAAATGTCTTTACAAAGAAGAAAAAATCAGAAGGCGGAGAAATAAGGCATTCTTAGTTCTACTGACACAGCTCCATTTTTGGTTCACATGTAACGTAATTTCAGTCAAAAAGGTTTCAGATGGCATCGACAGGTAACATAACATTGGGTAAGAAGAAGAGATCCTAAGGGGCAGAATGGTTCTATGTCTACGGAGTGACTGGCGGGCCCTGAGCTGCCGAATGTTGATATATTTAGGAATCAATAACAACCATGCACAGCAGATGTGGCAGATGGCAGCCCAAAGTTGGCTCAGACGTCACTGTGCTGCCCATTCATGTTAACTTAGTGATGGGAAAGCCCTGGGACACCCCGGCTCCCGAGTCTGTACGACGCTCCGGCAAGACCAGCGGAGAATGCACAGCCAGGACGCCTGGCCGGGGCTAAGGAGATGGAGCATCTTGGCTCCGCCGTGCCCCTTCTCACCCTCAGCTCGGCAGAGCAAGCAAGCCAACTTCCAAGTGGCCAACTTCCAACTGTCTCTATTTTCTCCTCTCCTCCCCAGAAACTCCAGGCGCAGAGGATTTACTCAACGAGGAGCCTTTTTGGTCCCGTGTCTGCTTCTTCAAGGGCCTGCGAGGGCCTCCGCTAACTCCCTGGGGAAGGGCAGTTCAGGCTGAATATGCTCCTTTTAAAAATTCATTTGGGCTCCTTTCTTTTTCTGGTTTCAGCTCCCATGCCCTCCGCTCGCTCGCAGCTCTTCCTCAGGCGCCAAGGTGCCGGGACTCCTTGCGGAGCCCTTCCCAAGATGGTCAGGTCATCTCTTCCCTGTTCCTCCTTACCCAACACATCCCCGCTCCAATGAGAGGCTCTCTGCTTGAACAGTTCAACCTCCTGCACCGAAGACAGGATTTATTTGTGACCAAATGAAGACTTTGAGGACTCTGCCACCCCTCACTGGAAAGCCAGTTCTTCTTATGACCCAGGGCTGTCCTACCCGGGCCTCTTCCATGCCTGAGTCTCTCCGGGTCCAGCTGGGTTCGCCGCCCGCCCTGTCCACCAGCGTGGCCTCAGGGCCGAGCCCAGTTCCTGGCACCAAAGGCAGACACCCACAGGTGCTGCGAGTGACCACGTGATGCCTTCCTGCTAGAATTCTCTTTCCCCTTCTGGAGACTTCCTGCTCATTCTCCAGGACCATGCTTGCACGTTACTTCCTCCGGGAAGTTTTCCTTGAATCCCTTGGGTCTTCCGAGTTTTCCCTTCCTAGCCTCCTGGACCCCTCATTTGGGCACCAAGCATGTTGTAGGTGGTTCACAGGGGTAGTCCCCTGCTTGACTGTGAACTCGTAGGGAGCAGAGACTGTCTTCATCTTCTTTGTAGCCCTGTGCTTTGCACAGGGCGGGGCACATTATCTGGTCTACAGGAAGACAGGAGTTTGCATCGAATACTCTTCTGACTGCTGGGGACCCTGGGCCCAGGGGCACTGCATTTCCTAAATAACTGACTCTTCACCTTACTTGAGTAGTAAAATACCCTGGCTTTGAAGCAGGAAAGGGAGAGAGGCTTATCAAAAAGAGGATCAATATTTGTAGGTTAATCATTAGCTTTCAAACAGGATCAAAAAAATCTTCATGTTTTTTAATTGTGTTCTGTCAGGAGCAGATCTGGGTGCTATCTTGCCTGGGGCTGGTGGCCTCTTCCAGCTCCACGGAGGCAGAAGGTGTGCTCCTCTTGACAGGGCATCCGATTCCCCAAGTAATGACATGGACCTGCGGGTTATTCTCCCAAGAAGACGCCGAGCACGGGGATCCTTGAGGCCAAACCCTAACATATGTGAGGCATATGAGCAGGGAACAAGGTTACTTTTATTTCCAGAGCTGGCTTCTCTCAGGTAAACCTTGTTCTTTAGAGCTATACTCACCAATTCTTCATCTTTTAATTTACTTAAATCAGCACCTACTGAGCCCTTGCCAGGGGCTGTGATACTGTGGGAAATTGAAAGATGCAAAAGACTGACCCTACAGGAAAACCAGCAGGATTAAAACATAATAGGAACCCCCAGATAAAAACCTTCATCATGCTATAGAGATAAAATTGAATTCAAAGAGCTTATCAAACACCTCCTGGGAGAAAGGGGCTGTGCCACATGCTGGAGGCCAGAAGTGAGGACCGCTGTGGTCCTCCAAGAACTTGTTCTGCTGAAGTGAGTACCCAACCAGAACAAGCCCTGGGCACCCAGTGGGGTTATTACACATCCCTTCCCTTTGCACGGCTCACAAGGCCCTGAAGATCCCTGAGGGTTAACAGAATGAACGCAGTGGAGCCTGGCCCAAGGACATGCCATCTTTCCAGGTAGGAGGGGGCCCTATCAGGCTAGAGTTCCTGAACCTCACACACTTCCAGGAGAACAGATAGCTCCAGCCCCTTCCATCCAGGTTCTAGTGGGGAGAGGTGCTTTGGAGTGCTATGTCTAGATGGAGAGGACTGGGGGATCCCTGGATGGAGGGGGCTGGAGGGCCCTAGGATAGATGGAGCTGGGTGTACCTGGATGGAGGGAGGGGGCTGGAGGTCTCTAGGATGGGGTAGGGGGTAGGAGCTGAGTGCACCTAGATGAAGGAGCCTGGCGGACTCTAGAATGGAGGGAGGTGTACATGGATGGACGGGTGAGGGGTAGGCCAGGATAGACGGTCTGGACACGCCAGGATGGAAGGGGCCGGGGGGATCCTGGCTCCCGGGCTGCGGTTTTTGGTGTGGGATCCTGTGCCCCTTGGCTGCTGGCGAAGGGCCGGCGCCCCCCGCCCCCCCCCCCCCCCCGCGGGCCCCGCCACCCACCTGGGCATGCCCTGGCGTAGTCGAAGCAGCAGTCCCCCGTGAGGCGGCAGGCTTGGTCGCAGAAACACGTCCCGTAAACCCTGTCCAACCTCCAGCCGCGCACGAAGCAGGCGGCGTCCCGGCCCGGGCAGCAGCGCCCCGCCTCGGCGCAGCCGGCCAGGGTCCCCGGCCACAGCCGCGCCAGCGCGCACAGCGCCATCCACAGGGTCCTCATGGCCAGCGCTCCCGCGGCGCCTGCCACGCCGCAGAGCTTCGGGAGAGTGGTGAGCTCGTCCGAGAGCGGCGGACCCGAGCAGCCCAAGCGGCCGGCGACGCGCAGCCCGGCCCGGCCCTGCCCCGCGCCCGGCCCCCGCCCTCCGCGCCGCCCCTCCCCAGCCGTGGCGGCGCGCCGGTCAGGGCGGGTGCTGCGGCTGCCCCCTGCCAGGCGGGGAGGCCGCGTCTCCCCGGGGCGCCAGGCAATCAGCCCTCGGAGCACCAGCCCCCTGCCCGCCGCCGGCCCGCTCGCGGCCCTGCGCCCCTTGCCCGCGGGACCGCCCCGGGAGAGAGCCGAGCAGCAGGTGCTCGGGGATCCCCGCGACGCAGGGAGCGTCGGGTCCGCCAGCAGCTCGGCCAGGGCGGCCACATTTCCTGCCTGCAGCCTCTGTTTCCCAACGCCTGGGGTCACGTTCATGAGTGGGCATTTTACTCTCAAACTGGAGACGAATAGCGCTTGATGCGCAGCAAACGGGTCTCCGCCGCACAGTGTGAGCGGGTCACCCTGTCTTCGCCCAGGAAAACTCATACTGTATTTTTTTTTCCGGGACACCAGTCCCCGCGGGCCACAGAAGCCCCTTAGAAGCAAGGAAATAACACCAAAGCAGCATCCTTTCTTTGCTATATTTTATGATGAGATTTTCCTGGACCAAGAAAATGCCACTTTGATTCACTGAAGAGGCAGTTGATGAATGTTAAGGAAAGGATAAAAAAAATAAACTGTGCTCTGCTTTCTGTTAAAGCAGATTTCCCCAAAGAAGCTCTGCTTAATGATATTCTAGCAATAACTCCCGCTTTAATAAAGCTCTCATCTAACTCCTCATACATTTCTTTCCCCCTTTCTCTCCAAATTTATTACATTTTCTGCTCCTCACTCTTTTTTTTTTTAACCAAAAACTATCCTGGAAGTTTCATTTTATTTTATGTTCTTAAATCATTTAGACTATTACGGTTTTGATGAGAAACCAGGAATATGAAGTTTTCTGTATCTGTGAACCTAAGATTTCTAATGAATTTCAGAGACTAATTTTTTTTCTTTCTCATGCAAAGACTTCTTATAGAGGACCTTCCTTTACTCTTTAGAGAGACAAATAACAAAAAATTTTAAAAATCCTTTACTATAACAGTAGTAAGACAAAAAAAAAGTTGTGAAGTGAAAAAGATTTCATACATTGTAAGAACCGTATCTTAGGAACTTTAAGGAAAACACACTCTAAAGTCAAAAAGAAATTCTTTCTTGGTGATTATTTATACAAATAAATCTCAGGGTTGGAAATTCATTTTTGTCTTACTCTTTAGTTAAGTCTCTCTTAGTTTGGCAATTTAAATAAATAATACATACTTTTATTCTCGGTAGTTGGTACTAAAACTTTGTCGGCAAATTACAGCCTCTGCCTTTTACTTGTGTTGTAGGTTTTACTGGCAGCTTTGTACTAACTCATTCATGTAATTTTTCCCCCGCTTCTTCCCTAAGGCTGTCTCCTTTATGGAATGCCTTTAGCTGGAGACAGATTCTGTAATGCCATAAGAATCTGGAATTGTTCCAGATAAATGTAAAGGAAAAGGATCCACTAAGTTTATTTTCAGGAATAAAACATGAAATGAAGTGATACGGGGAGTGGAAGAAGATGACCTCTGGTTTAAAAGGATTAAAGGTATAATGTCAAATGCCTGCTCAAATACCTTTCCCCTCCGCTCCCCCCCGCCACCCTTTTCCTTATGCCTAGGCAAAACCAAAACCAAAAACCAAAAACAGAAAGTTGGTGGTCTGTGCTCAGGAGGTTTGGGTCTGTTTCTGGGTCTCTGACTTCTGACAGATCACCTCGGTGTCGTCCCCTCCAACACAGAACGCTATACCTTTTCCAATTGCTGAGATGTCTACAGAAACAAGGCAATATGTGTAATTTGAGCACAAAGTGGGCACGAATATCTACTAGTGTCCTAATGTTCCCCCACTCCCACCCCATAATTTAAGCCTAAAACCAAGTAAAAGATAAAGTTGGTTTTAATCGTGTGCAAAGTAGACAAGCACAATGTGAAAAAGAAACCACAAATAAATCATTACTATGTTAACGCCAAACATAAAAGGGAGCTTGTCTCTGATAAGTAACATTGAAAAAAAAAAATTCATGGTTCAAGTTAAAGCTTGCACTGTCTTGCAGACATCAAGATAAGCCTCCCGTAGCAGGCCCAAGCAAAGGAAACAGTTCCTGCAGGATGGGGCAAAGTCAGGGGACACTGACATTTAAAGCAATGGACTCCACATACTTACTGGAAACTGGGTGCAGGCAAATGTAACAATCTCTCACTTTGTTTTCCATGTCTCGTAGATTTTTGGAGAATAGGAGTCATCTCAGTGATCATGTGGATGAATATAGGAAGTAATCAAATGCACCTTAAAAGTCACCCTTTCTTCTGAAGTGTTGTCTTTGGAAGCTATCCAAGATTGGTAAAATTACAGAGGGGAACAGAGGCCTTTCTGTTCATCACATTCCAGAATGCAGTCATTTTAAAGGACATCCACATATATGATTTCATTCAACCTTGCATAACTGTGAGGAAAATATTGGCACCCCCATTTAACAGATGACAGATTAGACATGTAGCTAATTAGTGACAAAAGGGGACTAGAACTAAAATTATTCTTTCCAAAACATTACAGAGTTCTTCCCATTACTTCAAGCTTGCTGCTGGTGGGGAGATGGTAATGGAAAGTAGAGACAAGGAAGATTAAGTGCTTATACTAAATACTGTAAGTAGCTTATGGGGAAATGAAAATACAAATCATTTCCCAAAGCGTTTGGATACATTTAGAATATAAGATGGATCGGGGGTTATTAAAGGCACCCAGAATGCTGTGAGGGAGGGGGAGGGACCCTCTTGAGGTTGACAAACAGAGCAGTTGAACCTGAGGCCAGCTTGGGGCCATTTGTCAGAGGCAGAGTACTGAATGGATATCAATAACATCGTATTTTGTTGAATACCAGACACCTTTGATTGTAAGAGTCACAGCCCTATCTTACACAACATGAAAATCCGGTACATAAGACATAAGGAAAAAACTACCATAGAATAATAAGTCATGGTGCATATTTATCCATGGATTGCAGGATTGTCTTAGTCTGCTTGGGCTGCCATAACAAAAAGCCATAAACTGGGTGGCTTAGAAACAACAGAAATTTATTTCTCTCAGTTTCGGAGGCTGGGAGGTCCAAGATGAAAGGGCCTGCAGATTCGGTGTATGGTGAAGGCCTGCTCTCTGGTTCATAGACAGTGCCTTCTAGCTGTAACCTCACAATCCAGAAGGATCCAGAAGAGGGTGGGAGCTTTGTGGGGTCTCTTTTATAACAGCACTGATCTCCTTCACGAAGGCTCCACCCTCATGACCTAAGTATCTTCCAAAGGCCCCACATCCTTATAACACCACCTTGGGCATTAGGTTCCAAAATATAGATTTGAGGTGGACATAAATGTTCAGTCCACTGCAAGAATGGATCTCAGTGTTAGAGACGTTAAAATATGAGAAAATGTTCATCTTAGAATTCATGAGAAATTGGAAGAGATAGCACTTTCCTCATTGACATTTTATAGCATGTTTTTCAGTTCATCCTGTAAGGCAGATGTTGTTAATTTTCTCATTTTGTGGATGGTGGGTTTCCGAGGGGCTAAATGACCTCCCCAGTAGTCCGTGGGTGCAAGCCCAGCTCTCTCCTCAGAACCAGCACCGCTCATTTGGTTATAGTCATTCACTTCCTGTGGGTCAGATGCTCCTGCAGGCTGAGGACCAAAGTTGGGTAAGAAATGGGCCTTTCCTAAAGAGACTGAGGTCGAATGGAGATGCCAGGCATATGAAGTTTTCACCGTGTGTTGTGATGAGAGTGGTCCTGAATGGGGGTCCTGGGGTGTTGGAGACACTGGAGCCGGCCAGACAAGTGGGAGATTGAATTATAATGAATTCTTAGTTATAAAGAGTAGGAGGAGTTACAAAAATCCTAGAAGACAAGGATTGGGTCCCTATTTGTCCCTTTGCTTTCTTTCTGCAAAGTGCAGACATAGCCAGTAGGAAAAGATTGAATACTTTTGGGGAAGGTCCTGCCTTCATGGGCTGATACATATTCATTTAATAATGCCAAAAATGCAGACAAGTATCCAAAGAAACTTGTTTAAGATTAGTGTACACTATGTACCTGGAGCAATACTCCCCTTACAGCAGCCTTCCACCAAGTGTTCAAGAACACCACTGCCAAGGCTTATGCTGCCAGTTTTGCATCTTTGACAGTATCAATCAAATAAACATGGAGTGGATGGGACGCCTGGGTGGCACAGTCGGTTAAGCGTCTGCCTTCGGCTCAGGTCACGATCCCGGGATCCTGGGATTGCGCCCCACGTCAGGCTCCCTGCTCAGTGGGGAGTCTGCTGTTCCCCTCTGCTTGTGTGCTCTTTCTCTCTCTCTCTCTGTCAAATAAATAAATAAAATCTTTAAAAAAACAAACATAGAGTGGATATGGAAGCGGTAAAGAAATTCTTTGGTTGCCCCCAAAGTATTCATTCTTCCCTTCTTTTTCTAAAGTCCCCAGATTTTCGCTTATGGAGAGAGTACCCCTTCCCTCCACTGTGTGACCACAGATCTTTTTGGGTGGATGGACCCCACTCCTAGCTCTAGGGATGGGCTCTGAGGGTTAATTCCACCCTCAGCCTGTGGACCCGTCCAGGGTCCAGGGCCCAATCAGAGCTCCAGCTTCGGGATGTTTGTTCCATACGTGATCGGGCTTCACCTTGACCCTTACCGGATGTGAATGAGGATGCAGAGTGGCCTCAGTGAAGCCAGCCCGAGATCTTAGCCAACAAGCCAAGGAAGTCTGAGCCAGGGGTCACAGGGCTTGGACTGGATGACGCCTGAATTCACACTTCCCCTTTGCAGTCTCCTGCGCCAAGTCTTTCTTATTTATGCCTTTTTTGGTTGGGATTTCTGTGGCTTCAAACAAAAGCACCCAACAGAGGTGCCATGGAGAGTGAAGAGCTCAGATTTTAAAAAGAAAAGTGGATTTGAGCTGTGG